AAAGCTTGTGTAGTTGATCAAATTGAACGTGAGATCCTGATTTAAATGAGGAATGGGAGGAAAATATTAAAAAAAGATAGACAATTGACTGATTTGCTATCCTCGAGTGAGGTATTGATGATTCATCAATAGCTAATGTAATATTAAGATAGATAAAATGATATTTTTTTTGTTTTGTCCAGCTTTGGAAGAATTAGAAATTCAACACTAGAGGTTTCATCTATATCAACTATAGTAGAAGTTTTAGAATTGATGAAATCGGAGATACTTCTGTGGAATTGCAACTTTAATACATATTCTCAAATTTAGACATATAGTCAATAGCAATTATACTACCTGACCGTTTGGAGGTATTGTGTCAAGTGTTTGATTTATGTTTAGTGTATTCTTTGGAAATCCAAGTGCAGAGAACATGATATTTAAAAAAAAATCTCTTATTGTGGCGTGATGATTGTTCCACTTCTCGCACTTTGGGACATCGAATAACATATCACCTTATTTCTCATTGAAATGTGTAATATAAGATGAAAGATTAAACATCGTTACTACATATGCATAATTTTGTTAGATGTAATTGCTATATATGAATAATTTATTAGATGTCGATAATATACATACATCCATTTTGCTTCTTATTTAAGACATTTTCTCTTTTTTTCAATTTTATACTCTCTTTTTAATCCTAAAAAATTATAAAAGGGAGTTTTAATAGTTTTGTGTGCAGAATATGAGGATATCATAGTGGGTAGATCGCCGTTACTCCATTTCAACTCGTCATTACCAAGGTTATATGTACTCTACGGGAAGGCCGAAGAAAGTCATGGCGGCGTCCAGAGGAGTAGACCGGCTGAGTGATCTGCCGGAGCCGATTCTACTCCACATCCTCCCTATGTTGTCGGATGCAAAACAAGTTGTGCGAACCAGCCTACTCTCTACAAGATGGCGATTTCTTTGGGTGTCTGTTCCATTAATTCTCTCTTTCCATTTCCCCTATGGTGAAGTCAAAATGAAACTGTTGCTAACCTAGCCTTCGTCCATAGAGAAATTTATTATTGGAAATCTTGCAACAAAATCAAGAGCTTTGGTATCGGGGGCATTTGGTATGATGAGAGTCATTCTAAAGATGTTGATTTATGGATACATTTTGCTACTAAAGTTTCAAATGTTGAATTCTTTTCACTTTCATTGATTACTGCAAGTCAACAAAATTATAAGTTTCCGCAATTTGGGTATAAAAACTCGTCGTTAAAGCAATTGATTTTAAATCAATGTCAACTGAACCCTTGTGCTATTGTTAATTGGAGTAATTTGGCTTTTCTTTCAATTGGGTCCATAGAATTGACGGATGGTGCTATGGAAAAAGAATTATCTGGTTGCCCTTACTTAAAATGCTTGGAATTAAAAAAAGGTTTGAGGCATGCAACGTCTGGAAATTAGATCTGTAAACATGACAATATTGATGATAGAAGAATACTATGATAAGAATCATGATATTTGGCTTGAAATAATAGCTCCGCATGTTAAACATTTGGAAATCTTGATTGTGTAGTCAGATACGCATAATGCAGAGAAATGTTTCTTCCCTTTGTTATGTTGTCCTTCGTTTTCTTTTTTATTTTAAGGTTGAGGAAAGCAACTTAGAGAAGGAGTTTTGCTGTTTGAAGGAACTTCTCCATGGTGTTGTCCATGTGGAGTGTCTTGAACTGAGTAGCTGGTGCATCAAGGTTTAGTCATACTCTTCACTATCCATAATTCTTAACTTTTCTATTTGTTGTTGAATCATCACTATAGTAACATTAATATCGTCACTACTTAGGATAATTTGATCTAAGGTACTAAGTACTCAAGAGTGAAGAGTTCGTAATTGATACAACATTGTATAAAATTTTGTTTGATTTAGATTGATCTTACTTCAAGTCGTGTTTATGGGGTTTCCAAGTGTTTGTGGGTCATCTTTGGATTTTCAAACCAACCATGATTGATGTGGAAAATCACAGTTGTATAGTCAAAGCTATTTTATGGGAATTATTCAATGGTTTGCATCTCATTTATCGAGTATGTCATATTTCGATGTTTGACATATTCTACTTTATCTTTTTGGTTTATAAGTGTCTGTCCATTCTGAAGTTGAAAGGGTGGCAGTCTCCAACATCAATCCGGAATTTGTTGGACCTTCAAATAAACGAAGGCCAATTAGACTTCCCTAGAATTTGCAGCTTGCTACAGAGCTCATTGGATCTTGAGACATTGCTCATTGATTTGCATAGGGATTCATCAAGTGTAAGTTTGTTTTAGATCTTTATTTGCATTACGAAGAGGGGGGAAATGACTTCCTTACTTGTTAAAAAGATAAGCCCCTACAAGGAGGACTCCCATTTGCAATTTGAGACAGAAATAGGTTAAGTGCTTAATAAGCTTCACAAGTAATGTAGCTAACAAGGTGTCACCTTTGCTTTGTGCGGCTACAATATTGCCTTAGTCTCTATGCATCTTCTTGATGCCTTCTATGATTAAACCAATCACCGAAAAGGAGCTTCACAACAATATCTTCTTGCTTGTGGAGATTTCTCCTTTTACTGTGTTTTCACAAGAACTAAAAAGGAGAAAAAGGTGAGACAAATAACATTTGAGTTTACGTAAGGATCAAACCGGGCAGTTCATTTTGTTGCACTATTGGAGATAAGCTTTGGGTTTTCTTTCGAATTTTCCACTTGTCAATTATTAAGTTCCCTCTAGCTTTCCTCAGCTGTGAGTTAAGGCAAAAAATTTTCTTCTCTACATCCCATAGGTGATTGTACCCATCCTAGCTAATGATTCAGACACACATAGACTTCTCTGTAAAATTGTGTCACTTTGATCAACTCTTTAATATCTTTTTTAATAGGTTAATAGTGACAAAAAAAATTTATAACTTCCTTGAGAGTATTCACAGTAAAATATGTGAGGGCAGTCATCGACCCAAGTGTGTCAAATACAATGTTCAAGACCCCATAGGTGATTGTCTATGTCAAAATGATTTGGGGGTGAACTTTTTGATGTTTTTGGAAAAATACGCTTCACAAATGATTGTTCTCACCTTCATGCGAGGGGGGTGAATGATCAAGTATGATGAAACTTTAAAACATTTGTTGTTGTTTGCATGTACTACATTGTATGTAACATTTGCTAAGCGCTTTAGATGTTTCTTCAATTTAAAAAATCATGACCTTTTTTATTCTATCCACAATCAACTCTTTGGCTTCCGGTTTTCATTTAAGGTGAGTACTCTCGTTAACGTAGTGGTTTCTTCCCTTCAGGACTCATTGTTAAGGTACCCAAACGAGGGTAAACAAATCCAGAGGTTTGAGACACATAACTTTAAAGGCTCATTTCCACATCTGAAGACTGTTAAGATTGCTAACCTTAGGGGAATAGTAAGTGAAAATAAGTTTTTGCTGCCACTGGTTAAATATTTGCTCAAACATGCAATCGTGCTAGAAAAGTTTGTCATTGCTGTTTTATTATATGGGAGTGATGCGTTTCCAGATCATGCTGCAATGACACAGGAGTTACTAAGCCTTCAAAGATCATCTCCACACATTTCAGTTGTCATTTCTCATCGATAACTTTTGTCCCCCATCTTTAGAGCCAATTGCAACATCTCAAACTAATTTTAAGAAAGCTAAGCAGTGGAACCTTTGAAGGAAAAGCTATTTTGTAAACTGAGAAGTCTATTTTAATACTTCTATGTTTGATGAAACGTTCATGTTACTATATTTGTATGAACATATCGAGAAATTCTCACATCTATGGACAAGCACTACTGTAAACTGATGCAAACCCAGTAATAATAATAATACACTGCTTTTGAAAGATTTTGTTATCAATAAAATAATGTATAATCTCACTTAACCCTAAATTTATATTGTCAAACACGAAGAATTACTATGACAAAAATAACTCTTAGCACCAATAAATAGATAGATTAAAAAAGAGTGTTAAATCTTTACGAGTATTAGTTAAGTGTTAGTAGATTCATTGGCGCTAAAGACTTTAGGGGCATATAGGGTGTTAATTGCTTCCAAAAATACATATTTCACGGCAATTGAGATATTTTTGCTAAAGACTTTAAGGACATTTATAAAGAATGTAAATTATCGCTAAAAATATATATATAATGGTAATTAAGCTATTGTCATTAATAAATGTCGCTAAAGATCATTTTTGATGTAGTGAATTGACTAGACAGTTAGAAGAATTTCAGATATTATAGTCCAGTATTGTTAAGATCATGCCACACTAGTTAACCTCATCTAAAATATCAACAAGGTAGGAATAGTCCCCACGTTCTGCAGTGTTAAAGTCTATCAATATCTGTTTATCCTCTTGAGACAGCTATTTCAGATCGTTGTGAATATGTTTCTTCTAAGTTGGAATTTAGAAGCTCAAGTTGCATTGCTACACCTAGAAACTTAATAAACAGGTAGCACACTGAGTCTGTTTGGGTCGTCCATGTCACCATGCATCGAGGAAAGTATCAACACTATGTGGACAGTCAAAATGTCACCATAATCTCTAGAGAAAATTTTGCAAATCATCCCTATATATAATAAATTTAATTAGGATCCTTAGCTACAGTTTGCATATTTATGGTTTGTAAACTATATTTTAAGATGCTACAAGACACCTACCTGTTTGTATAATTTGGGGATAAGGTACAACTTATTGGAACATCACGAGTCAACTTAGTTATTTAGTTGTATTAAGTTTGAGAAGTCTATATCCCTGTTTAATTAGGATTAGGTTTCAACAGTTATTGTCTAGTTATATTTGGTTACTTCAGTTCATTTAGTAGTCTTTCCACTGTAACTCTATTTAAGAAACTTTTTGTCGTCATTAATAAATTATCGTCTTTCAACTTATAGTCAATCCTTATATGGTATCATGTATCTTCACGCTCTAACAAGAACTATCCAATCTTTTTTCCTTCCTTCTCATCAGTTGTTAATGTTTATAACACAATGGGTAGTAACATATTCATTCAGTTCAATCCTGCTTTCAAACTACCCATTAAACTAAGTGGTTCTCACAACTTCGCCACCTGCAAAACCTTATTCTCCATGCTTATGTATGGCAACAACCTTTTTGGCTATCTCTATGGGACCACTCCAGCCTCCAATCGCACAATTTCCCTCGGTACAAACATATCTTCTAATGCTGTCTTCTTACCTTGGTTCTACAAAGATAAACTCATCAAAAATTCCCTTATGGCTTCTGTCGAACCAACCATTGATTCTACTGTTGCTACTGTTGACTCGGATAAATTAGCTTGGGATGCTTTACATACCACTTATGCGAACAAGTATCAAACTCAGGACTTTAGTTTGCGTGATCAGCTTTTCCATGTCACTAAGGACTCTCGCTCCATCACTGAATATAGTCACGATATTTTGTTCCTTTCTGATGAGTTAGCAATTGTTGGTGTTCCTGTGACCAATCCTGAACTCATAGTTAAAATACTAAGTGGTATGGAGCTAGAGTTTCGAGAGATGTATGGTGCCATTCGTGCACGTGATACAACCCTCTCTTATGAGGAATTGTTTGAAAAACTACTAGACTATGAACTCTTCCTTCACCACGAGGATGCTAAGAAGTTGTCTAGTCCTATCACTGTTGCATTTGCCACTCCCAGAAAAAGCAACACTAATAATCGCAACAATCGCAGGCAGACAACCAAATCTCAACAATAGGTTAGAACTCACAGAAAATAGTGCACCACAATGGCAATCTAACTCAAACCCAAAGGGTGTTACTCGTTATCAACTATGTAACAAAATAGGATACACCGCTAGTGGCGGACCCAAGAATTCCATTTAGGAGATTCAAAAAATAAAAATATAAACGTGCAAATAAGTCTTTTGAAATGGGACCTTTTAATTTTTTGGGTTTAAAACCACACTTTTGGCACGTTTTTAAAAGAAAAAATGCTTGAAAAATAGAACTATTTTTTCTAGGGCATGCAGCTTAATATTCAGGGGTCTTACCATTGAGACATCTATTTTTATTTGCTATTAAAGAGGTTCAAAACATATGCATCTACAGAAAAACAAAAAATTTACCTTATATATATGATGTATTTTATGCCGAGCGTGTTAGGGTGAACACCGTAGACTCAACGTGGGTCCGCCCCTATACACCGCCACTGTTTGTAACTCAAAGTGTCACAATCACTTTGAAGCCAAAGCCAACTATGCAACTGGGTTTACTGCTTCCACCAAACCCTGGATAGTTGACTCAGGAGACAACCATCACAACACCAAAGAACCAAACAACCTACAGTCGTACCACAATAACGAAGAATTCTCCATGGGTGATGGTAATAAAATTTATATATCTCACACTAGTTCTAATTTATTAAATGCATCAAATAATATTTTACAACTAACTCATACTCTTTGTGCTTTTTCCATTAAACGTAAACTTATCTCAATTTCTAAGTTTTGCCAAGATAATCTTAAGTCGTTTGAATTTTTTCATTTTGACTTTGTTGTGAAGGACATGAAAACGTGGAAACCTTTGGTGCACTATCAGATCAAAAATGGACTGTATGTGTAGTTTGTCCCATCTCCCAAGCGCACATGACCACTACATCAATTCCTCTCACCAGTTGACATCAACGTCTTCGTCATCCACACTCTAGAGATCTTAGATTTATTTTAAACAAGTTCTCTTTACCGTTTCATGAGTGAGACAAACCTTTTCATTGTAATTCTTATTTATCTACTGAAGTCTATCGGCATCCTTTTTACCAACTATCACTGCGTAGCTCTAAATCTCTTCAAATTATTATTAGTGATTTATGAGGGCCATTGTTGCAAATTTGTGTTTGAAAAACAAAATTACCGATTCCAACAAAACATTGTAGAAACAAAAAGTAACCAAAGTTGATTGAACTAGTAAGAAAGAAGAACAAAAATTAATTCACAAAAAACTAAAATATGTAAACGTACCAAAATCTGGAAACTTAGAATAGAAAAATATCAAGCCCACTGAATGCACATTGTCCCCTTAAGGAAATTACTCTCCTCTAGTATCCGAGTTTTGATTGGGAATTATGCCCTCCCAGTATAGAATGATCTCAATAACCAACATATTAATACCCAAAAATCTGGTGTCAGTGAATCACTCAACTACAATAAAGTACACAAAGAGACTTTTGTCAGAAGAAGAACAAGAAGAAATCAGAAAAATTTGTAAGGAAAAATTCTAAAGATTTAAATGGTAATTATAGGAAAGACGAATAGGTTCCGAAAGGTTGCAACCCTATTAGAATCCACACGACCATTAATGAAAGTTTGCAACCTTTCAAACGGTCCTGGTTGTTCTTGAAAGTTGCAACATTTCAAAGCAGTCATTTCCAAACGGTGGAAATTTGAATATAAATGGTAAAAGATTGTAAATAAAATGGGTCGAGCGATGCAAATCGGGTCAGATTAATCAACTAAAAAGTTGAAATGTTACGAGTTATCGTAACTAAATAATTAAAAACTTTTTTGTAGTCAACTTATTAATTTAAAACATTTTGGCCATTTAATTTAAATTAATTAATCAACTAAATAATTAAAAGAAAATTTGTCCAAAAAATAATTTCTCGATCGATCAAAAACATGCACCTGATTGTGAGTTGATCAACTGCCAAGGAGATGCAAAAATTCTTGAAAAAAAGTACTTATCTTCAAAAAACAAAAACAATTAATTATGCTAGAGGTGTAGATAAGACACAATATCTTACATTTAATAAATTTTTTAATGCGCTCACAGGCTTTGATATAAGGGAATATGAAGAAGACATACCACAACAAAACCATAAAATGGTATTATCTGCCAAAAAGATTGGGAAGAGAAATAACAACATCAACATACCGAATCATTGAAAAAACAAGTTTTAATGGGTTTTCAAAAAAATTGGATATTCGAAAACAACAACATCGACATACCGAGTATTGAAAAAAGAGTTTTTTCTTGGTAGTCAAAGTTATTTTTCTAGATATTCAAAGCAAGTTAGCAGTAACCGTTCCTCTACTCATGGCTTGAGGGGAAGTGTTGAAGAAGAAGGAAGCCGACGATTGGAACATGTCAAAGGAATATATCCAAAGCAGCTGATTGATGTGTCTGTAACAAGTGTTGATGAAGAAGGAAGCTGAGATTGGACAATCTCAAAGGAACCGGTCCAACAAAGCTGACTGACGAGTTCACAACACTGTTGAAGAATTAGAGTCGCATTAGGATTAGACTACCTATGTTAATTAGGATTATATTTCATCTAGAATTATATTATTATTCGGATTATAGTACAACTAGGATTAGATTATTTATAATTGCATTATTATCATTATAGTAGTAATAGTTATTGTAGTTGGAATCTAAGTATAGTTAACTTAGGACTCCAATTCTCTCCTATATAAAGAGCTTGTAACTCAACATTATTTTTATCAATATATGGATACACTATATATCAATACAATCCTTGATTTCTCTAATCCTAGATGTGAAATTTCTACATGAAATTCAACAGACTTATTGTTGTTCATCTTGTATTCGTAAGATACTTAGAACAAAACTTTGAAGAACTCGGTAAGACACAACAAAGTTTAAGAACATTTTCATAACCAGAAAATAAAAACTAGAATCAGAAACATATTATGAAATAATTTGTCTTAAAGAAGATTTGTTGGCAATCTGTGTTTTAATAATCTTACTGATTCTAACAAACTTTGCAGAAACACGAAATAATCAAAGTTCAATGAACTAGTGAAGAATAGAAGAACAGAAATTAATTCACGAATTTAAAATTTGTAACACATACCAGAATTTAGAAAAGTAGAAAGAAGATCAAGCTCATTGATAGCGCAGTGTCCCCTTAAGGAAATTATTCCCCTCTAGTATCTGAGGTTTGATTTGGAATATATCCTCCCAAGGTAGAATAATCTCAATCACCAATGTATTGATACCCAAAACGTTGTTGTCAACGAGCCACTCAACAGTAGCAAAGTACACTTAGAATACTAGATCTACAAGTAGTAGAAGAAATCCAGAAATTATATATTTAAAATGAGAGGAAATCTCTCTATTTATAGAAAACAAACGGTAGTGCGAAAAGATTCTTATTGTGCCTTACCGGAAAGTCACAAACCTTTGGAAAAGTCACAATCTATCGAAAAGGTCGTAACTTTTACAAAAGTTACAACTTTCCATAGAAGTCACAACTTTTCATAAAAGTCGCAACTTTTCATAATATTCATAACTTTTCATTAAAGTCGCAACCTTTCGTAAAAGTCACAACTATTCATAAAAGTAGCAACTCTTCATTTTCCATTCACACATTTAAAACCCAACAATCCACCGCATGAATGGGGAATGAATCCAAGACAAAGAAACGGACAATCATGTGTACTTTACAAGCAAGAATTAATTGCATCTAGATAAGTAGGTTTCCCCTTCGACTTTCGGTAGTGAACATATGTCGAATATACTAGGTCAATCGGTAGATGACATATCTTTGAACCGTCGAGCTTTAGTGTATACCTAGACAACCATATGTTACACAATTAACCCTTTACCGTTTATGGTTCTTACGGTTGTAATCATTGTAGCCATGAAAACCTCCTTGTTTCATGAGTGTATAGAGAGATGGGATTTTGACAATCATCTAATTTGAAGCGGCTTACACTTTATACTCACATAGGTGATTCCTAATCGTGTTATCGTGTAGATACACTATTTGGTCAACTTGGTCAAACTTAGCAAGTCATTAAACCCATTAAGCTTTATTAACTCATTAACAAGCCTTAATGTTGTATTTTTGTCTCTGAGCATTATCTTCATTTTGAGAATGGATTGAGTTTGTTGAGAATGTTGAACCGTCATTCACAACTTGTTTTTATCCTTAAATCTAGTTGTTGGGATCTCCAGTCTGCTAGATAGAGTTACCGCCATGTTGACTTGTCCTAAGCCGTAAATTCATTCCCTTAGATGATCTTTCAACTTTCTCTCTAGTTAGGCCTTTTTGTGAGTGGATCCGACACATTATCCTTTGACTTTACATAGTCAATTCTGATAATTCCACTAGATAGTAGTTTTTAGCGGTATTAGGTCTATGTCATATTTGACGCGACTTTCTATTATACGTCATGCTTCATGCCCTATCTATTGCATCTTGACTGTGAAAGTGTATGCATACTAATGCCAATGGTTTTGGCCAAAATAGAATATATATCAAGAAATTCTAGAGTCTTTCAACTTATTCACCGAACTTATCTAGAGCATCTAGCTCAAATATCATTGTACAACTAGCGATACATGTATATTTTAAAATATTTCTAAGATACTACTCCTATACCAAGAGTAAATACATATTCGCTCGTGGATTTTACTTCATTTGTCCGATGATCCAATTTTTATCACTATATCTTTCAATACTGCTGGATATTGTTATAATGCAAGACATAGTTTTAAGTATTATTTTAAAACATCAAAACTCTATTTGTTGTCATCTAATGAATATATTTGGGATCACTTGTGAACCAACATAGTTAAATACCAAATGTTATATCTGATCGCACACACTACGTGATATACATCATACTTCCAAAAACTCTAGCACAATCCAATTGTGTGTCACTTTTGCTTTCACTCTTTTGAAATGCAAAGCTCACATTTATTGGAGACTTGACAATATTGAGATCCAAAT